ACTCACTGAACCAGCATGATGTGAGGGTTCATGCATTGATGAATCGCTTGCAGCAGGTCAACCTCACAGTCAACCCAGCAAAGTGTGAGTTCGCTAAGAGCTCCATTGAGTTCTTCGGCTTGCAGATATCTGACAAGGGCATACAACCAACTCCGGAAAGGATACGATCCTTGGCAGAAGCATCCAGGCCGAGCAATGCGTCGGAAGTAAGAAGCTTCCTCGGTACAGCCGGTTTCAGTGCAAAATTCATCCCTGATTTTGCTACAGTTGCTGAGCCACTGCGTCGCCTCACGGTCAAGGGAGCTCAGTTCAAGTGGACTACAGAGCAACAGCAAGCGTTCGACCACCTGAAGCGACTACTGGTGTCCAGCTCAACACTGGCATACTATGATGCTGAAGCGCCGATCGAGTTAGTGACGGATGCCAGTCCAGTTGGGCTCGGAGCTGTGCTTGTCCAGAAGCAGGATGGTGTTTGGCGGCCAGTTGCGTATGCGAGCAGATCACTGTCAGCGGTAGAGCGGAGGTACTCGCAGACCGAGCGAGAGGCTCTTGGTATTGTCTGGGCGTGTGAACGATTTCACACCTATCTGCTAGGCAGGGAGTTTACACTCTGCACCGACCACAAGCCGCTGGAAGTGATTTATTCGGCAAGATCCAAGCCCAGTGCCAGGATCGAGAGATGGGTCCTGCGCCTACAGCCGTACAGCTATCGAGTCAAGCACATTCCTGGAAAGACGAACATCGCTGACGCTTTTTCTCGCCTGCCCGTTGCAGCGGCGGATCCAGGAATCAGCAGTGATGAAGAGTCGGTTAGACTTATCACTCAGACAGCAGCACCCATCGCTATCGGTATCAGAACGATTGAACGTAGCTCAGCTGAAGATGAAGAGCTATCTGCTGTTCGCAAGTGCCTTCATGACGGATCTTGGGATGGTCTGCCAGCAGCATACCGTCAGGTCCGAGGAGAATTGACTGTTGTTGGCAAGGTGGTGCTCAGAGGTCAACGCATTGTTATCCCTACAGAGTTGCGACACCAGACCGTGCAGTTGGCACATGAGGGCCACCAGGGCATCGTGAAGACGAAAGAGCGTCTACGGTCCAAGGTTTGGTGGCCAGGCATGGATAGCGAGGCCGAGAAGCTCTGCAAGTCGTGTCATGCCTGCCAAGTGGTTGCAGCGCCAGCCAATGCACCGCCAGTCAAGTCCACTCCTCTTCCAGATGCGCCATGGCAGCATTTGGCTGTTGACTTGCTGGGTCCACTACCGTCTGGCGAGCACATTGTGGTGCTCGTGGATTACTACAGTCGATATTTCGAAGTAGATGTGGTCAAGTCAACATCAGCTGAAGCTGTGATTCCGATGATTGAAGCCCAGTTCAGCCGACACGGTATCCCGACGAGTTTGCGTACGGATAATGGCCCACCTTTCAACTCGGAAGGGTTTGCGAAGTTTCTACATGAGTGTGGTGTTCAACAGCTTCGTACTACACCACTGTGGCCGAGAGCTAACGGTGAAGTTGAGCGACAAAATCGATCCCTGATGAAAGTGATCCGTGCTGCATATGCGGAAGGAAAGACGTGGAAGCGGGAGGTTCAACGATTCTTGATGGCATACCGCTCAACGCCACATAGCACCACCGGAGTTGCTCCAGCTGAGTTATTGTTTGGGCGCAAAGTGCACTGCAAGTTACCAGCCCTCGGTGAACCAGCGACAAACGAGGCCGTCAGAGATCGTGACAGCGAGCGTAAGCAGAGTATGCGTGACTCTGCAGATGACGCCAACCATGCCACAAGCCAGTCAACGCAGATAGGTGACTCAGTACTGCTAAAGCGTTCGGAGACACGGTCGAAGGTCGACACACCATTCCATCACCAACCTCATGTGGTGGTTAGTCGGAATGGGGACCAAGTAGTGGTTCAGGCACCGGATGGGAAGCTTGTGCGGAGGAACGTACAGTTCACCAAACCATTCCGGCAGCAGCATCCAGCTGAACCTAGCCCCGAAGTGCAAGAGGCACCCCAGCATCGTGCGGAGCCCCGCAGGTCAGACAGGTTAAGCGTGAAATGCTAAGGAACCTGTCCGGCCCTTGTTCTGTTCGGCATTGACTAGGCTGTGTGACAGTTGTGTTTGACTGGTCGTTCGGCTAACAATGTATGAGCTCGCATTATACTGTATATTTACATATTTTATGACATGGATTGATAGAACGCTTTTGGTTATTCGTCGCGTTTTGGACAGCCTATTTTGGTTTATTTAGTTTGTTGAAATGCTACGTTGAAGTTTGCTATGGTCAGTATTTCTATGGACTGTAGTTGTAGACTTTCGAGAAAAGGAGGAATGTGATGTTGCAGGCCTCCTGGTTAATACTGTACTATATTATAGTATTGTACTATTATAGTATCTTGTACGATATTTATATGTGTATCTGTTTTGTTCCCTTTCTCTGTGCTTTATGTTCCTGGTTCTTGGTCTTTAGTTTTGTCTTTGTTAGTGCTTTGGTTTGACCAGTACTGTAATAATAATAATGTCCCAGAACATTACAGGCAGGACAAAGGTCTTCGTCTTCTGTGCAATCCACGTGAACTTATCAATATCCCTCTTCATCTTTTTATCAAACCTGGTTTTTACTTCGAAATACAGTAACAGCACTAGTTCTTTCAGCTCTAGAGTCTACAAACACTTCATGACCCCAGTACATGCAGGGAAGATCCCCAGGCAGTCTACACGCAAAGAGAGTACCAAACGACAACCAAACAACAACAGTAGCGACACACAAACACAGAATCAGTGACAGTAGCCTTCACTTTGCATAATATTATGCAGGTTCCGCCAAAGCTGATCCGCCAACGCGGAGGTTCCGCTCGCATTTTTCTGGCGTAGCGAAATCCAAGCTTTCCGCCAAAGCGTAACTACGCCTCTGCCGTAAGTTACGGTTTGGCGGCGCAGCCAAAAAAATTGCATGTGTGACCGCGGCCTTAGTAGAGTGTTTGTGGCACTTTACCCAGTTTATCTGGTGATAGTCGCTGGAAAAATGGCCTCTGCGTACTGCCTTTGTCTCGTTTTGATTCTCCTGGGTACGTCAAACTCACAGTTCGGAGCAGAGCCACACTAAAATGCCCACCCAGAGTCCATGGTGTTCGTCGGCATAGCGGTAGCTGCGGAGGTGTCGTCCGTTCCGCTCCCGAACGCTGCAGTCCCCGGGCTGCGTATGCCTGTAGTGGGAATCAGCACGGGTCGCTAAGCCTTTTCTCCGTGGCAGTACGGAGAGATATGGAATGACAGCACTGAACTGGCCAAAAGGTACATTATAACAGTTTATAGGCCACACTGTCACAACAGTTTACCTATGTTTTTAGCCAGCAAATTACACAGTATGGTACACTAGAGGGCGATGAAAACAAAACAAAAAAAGGAATCTGAAAAGTCAGGAAATGAAAAACGGAAATCACCGAAAAAAAGGTTGGCCTTTCATACCTTGATTAGTCTTTTATGCAGTCGGCACCAAAACAATCCGGCTAATACCGTGGATACAGTGCACTAGTCTCACTGGTAAGTGGTATGGTACGTGTTCACTGGCACACCAACAGTTCTTCATACAGTCAGCAGGTGACATGGTACCTTCGTGGCATGCATGTATTTACAGACTACCAGCACAGGACTGAGCAGTCTGCGCTGCGTGACTCTGCCCAGCCTGCTGCTGCAGTCGAGTCGAGCACGGCCCATGCACCGTACAGCTGCCCTTAGCTTAGCATAGCATTGGCCGGATTTTGTTTGGCGACGACAGTACATTGTGCCTTTCCTAACTTGTGCACTAGTATGACAGAGTAGGTATATAATAACCTCCTCAGCAGTGCACATGCATTGTTGGCCAACATTACTGAGTTGTTCCTGGTAATGACCTGGGCAAGTTGATCAGTGACTGCAGACGTGTGTAGCAGTAGACATACGCATATACATACAAACTGATACGGTCACACCTGTACTTTCACATACCTGAGAAAACAAACGTCTTTCACACACCTGAGAAAACAAACACCTTTCACACACCTGAGAAAACAAACACCTTTCACACACCTGAGAAAACAAACACCTTTCACACACCAGAGAAAACAAACACCTTTCATACACTTGAGAAAACAAACACCTTTCACACAGCCGAGAAAACAAACACCGTTCACACACATGAGAAAGCAAACACCTTTCACACACCTGAGAAAACAAACACCTTTCACACACCTCAGAAAAAAACACCTTTCACACACCTGAGAAAACACACACCTTTCACACACCTCAGAAAAGAACACCTCTCACACACCTCAGAAAACAAACACCTATATAAATGCGAGGACAGCCCATTGCGGTTTTATTGATTTTCGGTACATTTTACTATGCGCGAACACTTGAAAATGCGGTCACTTGTGAAATGCGAAATGGGGACACTCTCTCGAGTGCCCCACAGAACTGTGTGGCACTGATCTCAGCCTGACAAATGCAAACACACTGACTGGGATACATGGGTTCCTGCACTCTGATGTAATTGTATAATATCTGGACTGCAGTATCGTACATACATGTACATATCATACAGTCGTAAAGTGTAACCCCCCTCCCCTGAAGATATTTAAATGATGAGTGGGCGGGGGAGTGTGGGCAGGGAGTGTGGGCAGGGAGTGTGGGCAAGGAAGTGTGGGCAGGGGCAGTGTGGGCATGGGCAATGTGGGCAGGGGCAGCATGGGCAAAGTGTGCGGACAGGAGTGTGGGCAGGAGTTTGGGCGTTGGCAAGAGTGTGAGCAGAAATGCGCGCAGGAGTGCGGCCAGTAATGTGGGCATCTGCATGCGTGTGCAAGTATTGATTGTTATGTCATCAAAATAGTCAGTATGTTGCATGTTTGCTGGTTTTGAATGTGTGTGTGAGTTGTGTGTGTGTGTGTGTGTGTGTGTGTGTGTGTGTGTGTGTGTGTGTGTGTGTGTGTGTGTGTGTGTGTGTATCTTCAGCCATGCCATGTGGTCAACATACGAACGCATTGCAAACCTGTATGAGGAGGATGAAGCGGAGCTCCCGGGACAAACAGGTGCGTGATTCCTTTTAACAAAGCAATTCTCTCTTTATCCTGTTCTCATCTATCTGCACTCAACTGCCCTTCAATTTGCGTTTGAAATCTTTTATTCTCACGATGGCCTGTGGTCAATAAGAGAAAAATAATTACAGGCACGGGGATCAGATTCAGAGAGATCAAAGTATAGCTGCTTGCTGAGGCAGTAGCGATGGTAATAGGGAGTTTATCACAGAGGCTGGGCGCAATGGAGCTATAGATGTGCTGAGCAATGTGAGCAAGTACATACGGAAGAGATGACAAGTTGTAGGATGTTTGCTTTGAAATCTCGTCTGGGGTTGATATGCCGGAGGCTGAGTGGAATGCTATTTAAGAGATCAAGAGTGTGTGCTGTTACTATTGTTTTCTTAGTCTGTCTGTATGCTATATACATACTCAAAATACATACCTTCTTGCTCTTTATACACTGGATTATACTTCATTCCATACTCACCCACATGCAATTGGCCAGCTACATAAGTGGTGGATATTGCTAGATATTCACCACTTATATTCACCACTTTTTGATACTTACTGTAAAGAGAGCAGTACTCGGTGCTGCGCTTGATTTCTCTTCAATCAGCGCACCGGAGATGGCGAGTGCCGTAGAACATTTCTACACTAATTTACGCAAACAGGACTTTTCTGAGTACAAATGAAATCCGCATGTGACCAGGTGGTGACAAGTCATCAGCCAGCAAGCAAACAAAGTTTTGTACGCTCGGCATGTCGATGGATTGTAGGTCGAGCGACAAGCAAGGAATTTCGTTTGTACTCGGAAATGTTCTGTTTATGGACGTTGGCGTAGAACTTTTCTATGGCACACAACAGCTCCGCAGCGCTGCCTGAAAAGATAATAAGGGAGAGCAGAATTGCTTAGATTGCTGTCTATTCACCAACTCCCGAAAATGATGCTCACAGATTGGTCAAATCTTCTCATCAAAACCGACGATGATTGGCTCACGTAAAGCACCAGCGTGCTCTCCAAGGTGATTGGCTCGAGTGTGTTCTCCAAGGTGATTGGCTCGAGCGTGTTCTCCAAGGTCGTCGCGTCCCGTGCCACATGCACCAGTACGTGTCCACGATCTGTCCTAACAAACTTGAACAAGATTCTGTCAAGAACACAGTCATCGCTCTCCGATTCATTCAAGACGATACCAGTCGGTAGTGAAGTACAACGACTTACGTTAGTTCTGCGTACATGTACATGTATGACCAACATGACTCGTTTGTTGGGCTGTAGGGACGATAGGGTGAATATGGAGAGTTATAAGTCTATAAATATTACATATAGACAGACAAACAGAAAATAGTAACTGTTTCTGATGATCGCTTAGTGCGTGAAACTCAAGTTAAAACACTTTCTTTGTCCTCATATTGTCTGAACCGGCTCTGCCTCTCGGTGTTGAGCACTCTCTTGGACAGCCTGGAACATCTCTATTTTACAGACAGTCATATTCATAAATAGGAACAGCACACTAATTGAAGGACAGTTGACCGCAGATAGATGTGAACTGGATAACGAGAGAAGTCTAGAAATAGTGACTGAGAACAGAATGTTTTAAATAGAAAAAAGACGGTATGTAAGAGGATTACAAGAACGGGTCACAATGCAGACCAGCGCTGCTTCTTGAAGCACGTGGGACGGTCAGATTAATTTTCCTGGACCGCACCAGCCGGAGAAAATCCTTGCGCCAAAGCACGTAGTAGTGAGGTGGAAAACCCGGTGCATGTCCCCAATGGTGATTGTATGGCATCATGGAAGCAGGCAAAGCACATCATAGGAAAAGTTTGAAAAAGCAAGATGTATGTGCATAGAAATGAAGGTTGGAAGGGCAAGGACACTGATGAGATTCAAACCTGATTGAGGAAGCCAGGAAAAGAAACAACGGTTAAGAACACATCAGATGCCATAGTCGCAACAGAAAAATATTGCCCGAGAAACATTTTCTTGCCTACCTCGCTGCGCTTGCCTGTCCAGAACTTTAATGTCCTGCTCTCGAAAGTGCTTAGCTTATGTTGAGTGCATGAGTCACTGGAGCGTGACTTATCACAAGTCTGTTGATTAAACGTGTGTGACTAATCATGAGTAGACTGATCACCAATCTCATTGAACACCTATCCCATATGTGTATGCCTGGTGATGTAAAACAAACTGTATCATCCTGTCCTGAAATGTGCTGGAGAAAAGAAAAGCATTGCAAGCACCGTGAATGCAAATACCACGCCAGGAGCCTAGGTGTAGAAGTATTGAAGCAATCTCGTTATTGTCAGGTACCTAGGTGTAGAAGTGTTGAAGCAATCTCGTTATTGTCAGATGTGAAAACTGTGGCTTCATTCATAGCAAAGTCAACCAGAGTGTTCTGGCAGCTTGCATTATGAGGCGAATGCACAACTTAAAAACTTGATGTCGATAAAGACGCGTTTTCACTCACAAAGCGACTGTTCAGTACATGGGGTAGTGGTCTACCAGAGCAATCGCACTCACCACCGTGGTGGTTTTCCAGAAATGAGTAGAAGCAAAAAACCACACTCGCAGCCACATAATAGATAAATAGCCGAAAAATATCTAAATCCATCAAAGAACCGCCAGCAAGCGGGGAGAAAAAGCCGTGAAATCCAGTGAACAGCATGGCCAGTGGTGAGAATGGGTGACTGGACAGCAGGGGAGCGCCTGAAAAACAATGACTCCCTACATTCCTAGCCGCGACCGCTCAACCGGGCTAGAGGAAAAACACGCCTTTCGGCCAAAAAACCTTTCTATTTCATTAATTCCTGCCCCGCTGCCAATCGGACCCAAGAATAGATATAGCAAGAAATGGTATGTAATAACCGGTGTATGTCATAATCATAAGCCACACACATAGGTATAGATTGTCAAGAAGAACAGCGGACGACTCCCATGAAACCAGGGTGGGTGGGCGGGCAACTTCAACTATCACGCGGAAAAACAAAGACCACGATGGCAGGAGTTGCGCAGAACAAGAGCAAATGCACGAAAATATTTGTGAGTGAAAAATACGTTTTTTGCACTCTTTCGCTACTCTCAGCCGTGAAAAAACAAACCTTTTCACTCACAAAGCGACTGTTCAGTACATGGGGTAGTGGTCTACCAGAGCAATCACACTCACGATGTAAAGGATAGTGAGGCCGATAGGAGAGCAGCACACAAAGATTTGGACAAGGAAAACGAGCAGTGTGGCGCATGGCGCCAGTGTGCCAAAGTCTTGGGCACACCATCTGTGGCCAAATGTATAGGTACTATGAACATTATGGAGACCCGGCCAGACTTGCCCTGGGATGATCACTAGTAGGCCAGGTTGGGGCCGGCGGCAACCGGGCGAGCACACATCAGCCAGGATAACATGATCAGCAGAGCACTCCGAGCAGACAAAATCTCTGCGAAATGCCCGAAAGTTCCCCTGCTAGGTTGCGAGTGCTACATCATGGAGTAGTACTGCAGTAAATTCAATGTGAGGTCCTGTACTTCCGTGATTGGGCTGGACGTCCGTTCAGTTCCTGCAAGAGAAGGAATCCTGTATCGAATGCACATGTCCGCCCCTCACACACTTACTGCACACACATGCACCCTTACGCACACTCACTGTACACACACACACACTCACTGTACCCACTCGTACTGCACACACACATACTGTACACACACGTACTGCCCGTGCACGTACACTCCTCCGCGTGCCCCGACAAAAACGGGGTGAAAAGCCGGTTGCGAGACATAAAAAACCCACATACCTCTATGTAACTCTCACTCTAACTCTCTTTCCGTTTCAACATGTCTGTAATCATTCATAACCACATGATCGTTCATCAAGTCATACACCATCATGTGTCATCACTGCCCATCGGGCTTCTCTCTCAACATGGCATCAAGCCATACACAACCATGTGTCATCACTGCCCATCGGGCTTCTCCCTCATCATGGCATCAAGCCATACACAACCATGTGTCATCACTGCCCATCGGGCTTCTCCCTCATCATGGCATCAAGCCATACACAACCATGACTGTGTCATCACTGCCCATCGGGCTTCTCTCTCATCAAGGCATTAAGCCATACACAACCATGTGCCATCACTGCCCATCGGGCTTCTCCCTCATCATGGCATCAAGCCATACACAACCATGTGTCATCACTGCCCATCGGGCTTCTCCCTCATCATGGCACCAAGCCATACTCATCACTGCCCATCGGGCTTCTCCCTCCCCCTCATCATGGCATCTAGCCATACACAATCATGTGTCATCACCGCCCATCGGGCTTCTCCCTCATCATGGCATCAAGCCATACACAATCTTGTGTCCTCATTGCCCATTGGGCTTCTCCATGTTAATGGCATCAAGCCCTACGCAATCATGTGTCATCACTGCCCATCGGGCTTCTTACTCACTCTGTTATCACTCACATACACACTAAATAATGGCAAGCCGGGTTACCCATTTATACACCACACAAGGCCGTTCCCAATCGCTTGCATCATGTCCCGTCGTGGGTGATCCGGTGTCTGTTCCACGGCCTAGGTACTGGCTTGGTACTGAAAGGACAGCAAGAGGAAAAAATATAGAAATACTTCATTAAGATTCAACACCGAAAACATAAGGACGGCATGCACAGAGATCAAGATACGTAAAGCTTTAACCAGTTGACTTGGCCTGGCAGCTGACTGGGGTGTCTCGCACACCTTACACAATCAAAGTGGTGGCTTAACTTTTTTATGAATTGGTTTGGCGTTACAACAGTGGAGTTGTGCAGTGTGCCATCATGTTACCTCACCTCGCACATTGCAGACTGCAGCGACCGGGTGAGGACTACGCGCTACCTGCCGCTTTAGTTATCGCTCCGTCTGGAACGTACACTTTTATTGAGCGTGTTCGGTAACCCTAGTCTTACTCTCTGGACGAAGGAAACCTGGACAGTACTGCTTCCCACCCCTGGTCAACATCGCATGCCCCCCTGCGGTTGCTGTCCCATTATCTATTGTGTTGTCGCTTGCTGCAATAGCCCATGACTATTGTCGTACTTGTTTGCACTCATACAATCCCAGGCTGTACTTTGGAACTGTTTCCATTGCCCATGTACTCCTTATTCTTTGCTTGCTTTTATGCTGAGAGAACATATGCTGGCTCCCTGTACTGCTTAGCCGCGTACTCATTCGGTAGAAATGTGTGAATAATACTACTAATAATCTGACGTGAGTGAGGTGGATGGGCACCTCAGGAACACAAGTTTGAAGTCAGCAAGCAGTCAACTTTTGCGTGAATCTCTTCCGGAACCATGTCTGGTGGACCCCACCCGTGAAAGAACAAACAAACATTGGTCTCGTCCTGCCGGCCAATTGTCCCCCCTTGTGTGTCCGATGGCTGCGGACGTCGAAATCTGTTACACCCCGATTACACCTGGCCGGAAATCTACTAGCATTTTGCACGATGTTTGACATGGACAACATTTACTGCCATGCCATTGTTGCCCGATTTTTGTACTCAGACTGACAAACTATCTACTCTTGTTGTTCATGGTTGCCTCTACAAACACGATACAGTCATATATATCGCTCTGCACATCCATAACATTCTGATGGTCCCGTGACATTGATCATGCACCCTGTGTAGGGCCTAGGGCGGTACGGGCTTGGCGTTTGTTTGCTCCCTTGAATACGACGGCATGTGCACCCCTTTCGATCGTGTCAACTGCATGATTATGTACTTTGTAAATTATCGAAAAAACATCCACAATCTCAAGTACTGATACTTATCTTTTCTCTCCGGTCCATGTGCGGAAAACTGGCTGGCTGTCCCAGTGAACTCCGGTTGGTGTTGTCAACAGACAGCTACGACCTTGCTGCCCTTCGCCACGATATCAGACAACTACTTCAGTATGACTGCGGTGTCACCTCGGCCAGGAGCTTCGCCACCATTTGGGACACGATGTTGTGATCGACAGCGCTCATCACCGACTCCGTAGACTCTCGATCTCATCACTGCGCCCACGGAAAACTCTCAAGGACTCGCTCAAGCCTTTGAGGAGTATGGTTGCGGTACAGGTAGTGTCGACTCGACATGTCGGAACGGCGTGACCAATTGTTTTGTCAGCTAAATTTTACTTCCACAATCTTTGCTGGTCGTCCAAAACGTAGATCTACTGATTTGTGTAGCTGTCAAAGGTGACTCTGCTCCACCTGGTACCCGGGAACTATTACTTGCTGGTTTGTTTCGGATTACGCTCAGCTCGTTTTAGCTGTTTCCGCCTTTCGCAGATCGATCTGCCTCTCCCAAAAACGTGAGGTTACTGGTGCATCGGCTTGCAGGCCCAATCAGGCGATGTGGACCTTTTGTAGGCTGGACCGATTCATTATAGACGGTGCACGGCACTGTTGTTTCTTTCTCCTGGACTATTACACTGTAGATCTACTATGAAAAAATAATAAGTTGAGTTGTGGTGTTGTGTGGCTGCGAGTGGAAACTAAAAACTGGAGCACTTGAAAACTTCAACTACCACGAGGAAAAACAAAGACCACGATGGCAGGTTCAACGGAGTTGCGCAGAACAAGAGCAAATGCACGAAAATATTTGTGAGTGAAAAATACGTTTTTTGCACTCTTTCGCTACTCTCAGCCATGAAAAAACAAAACTTTAACCGATACAACAAGTCAAGAATAGTATAAGTGAGGCAGAGGTTACGAAACAAAAACAAAAAAGAATAATAATTATAATGAATCTAAATGCAAAATTTCCTAATCATTTTTCATGACACAGTCATCAGGGAAAGCTATTATCTCCTCGTCGCTTATTTAAAGTTGAATGTTCTCAATACACCATGTGTGCTCCTTGTATGCTACTGCTAGTTTACTTGTGTGCAAATGTCTACTTCACACTATCTTGCAACACAACTTGACCTATGGGCTTGCTCAGGTCTCAAAGAGAACTTCTGTTTGCATCGGATTCTATACGAAAAAAGAATAATTTTCTCTGTGCATAAAGAACACATGACTGGTTGGGTATGTGTGTTATGCTAACCTTTAGGATTTTATACCCATTCCTATAATCGAATATTTCTGCACAGAGACATGGCTAGTTTTTAATTTCACTTCTTCTACTGTTCAATCAGACTGGGCAGAGAGCGTTCCTTCGAGCAGCCAGTCACACTCTGATCAAGCCAGTCAGTCCACTGCCGCTCGCCAAGCTGATGCTGGTAAAGTTGAATGTGCTCGATACACCATGTGTGCTCCCTGTATGCTAGTGTTAGTTTACTTGTGTGCAAATGTCTACTTCACACTATCTTGCAACACAACTTGAGCCTCTAGATCGGAAAAGAGGCTTTTTCTATTTTTCTATTCTTGTATTGTATTATATTGATTTATTTGAATTGGGTATCTCAACAGTACAATAAGTACAACTTGGGAACATCCACGCTCATGTCGTTTCAGGCAGTACTGAGAAAAATGGCATTTAAAAGTTGTGTGTGTTTCCGCATAAAGTGATGTACATGTATAACTCACTTTTTGAAACATCTATAACTCTGTGAAACATAACAATTTTAGACCTAGGTGTTTTTACAAAGTGATCTGCTGGGATACAGCAATGCCAGGGTATAGATCACTCAAAATGCTCAAAAATGACATAAGCCGCCTTTTTGAATCTAGAGGCACATTTGATTTATGAGCTTGCTCAGGTCTCAAAGAGAACTTCAGTTTGCAGGAGATTCTGTACGAAAAAAAAGAGTCATTGTCTCTGTGGATAGTGAATACATGACTGGCTGGGAATGTGTGTTATGCTTACCTTTTATGAAATGAGTTTATAATTTATACCCATTCCGATAATCAAATTTGTCTGCACAGAGACATGGATAGTTTTTATATTCTGTTTTCTGTTCTTTCCTGTTGAATGTATCAGGCCATGAGCATCACGCTGCTGATGGAAGTTGTTGTACTTTCCTATCCACTTCACCACTGTAAGTTCTACTCATGCATTGCTCTACAATGAAGTATAGAACCGTTGAATCAGTCCTTGGTATAGTTCAGTGAAATGTACTGCACCATTTCGAACATAATGAGTCAGGCCGGCCCAGTGAGTGAGTTCTCAGACCATGATTGTGCAATGACAGGTATATGTATCATGATCAAGTCCTGACTTGAAGAGGATTGCTTCAACTGTGCTGTACACCACAGTGAGTTGGGAACACGAGTTGTGGAAAACAGGGCAACACTGATGCAGAAAATGGGTTTTCAACTTTGCCCATAAACTGTAATTGGTGAATCTGAGTTTTCCTCTCCATCCGTAAAGAAGCGGCATCTGACGCCTTTTCATGTTGTCTTTTCATGTTGTCCTCTTTCAGACTGAAAGTTTTGTCAGAAATTTCTGACTTTCGAAGGTTCAGCCGAAGCATGGAACGGTGCATCAGCCGCCTTAAACGTGGTAAGTATGTTGCTGCCTATCTATGTAGAATCGAAGACAAAACACGCACCATATTTTCCGGAGTATAATCCGCATCCAGATATCTGTGTCTCTAAATACATTACATTGTTTGTTGTTATTTTAGTTGTTCCTACTTGCTACTTGCTAAGTTCCTATCACCTCTTTACTGTAGCAAATAAAGACTTGGAACCGGACTATATACATTATAACGTAACTTGTAGTCCCTGTCCTTAGACTTGCTGTGGTGTGAGGCCATGAATTGGGAACGTGAATAGGCTACCGACATGTCTCTGAGAAATGCTGTATTTCTTTCTCTTCCCTCCTTGTTCTCCTGTGTGTCCAGAGGACTTTGCCCAAGCCGTTGCAATACTGATTGACCCAGAATACAGCAACGATTTCAAAGACGACATGCAAGACTTTATCGTGAGAAACGACCTTGGCACCACTAACATACCGGATAATATGCAAGGTGTTATCAGGTGGGCCGTGGACCAAGCTGCAACGCGTGAAATCACCCTGGCCGAGTTGAAGAAGATTGCGCTAGACCTGAATCCCGAAAAGAAGAAAAGGATTGAGAAAACATTCCAGTGAGTTAACCAAGAATGACTCATATCATTGTTATACGGTATTTTGGTGACATGGTCCGGGTCGGGGCTAGGGAGAAGGGATAGGGTGATGGGGGGGGGGGGGGGTTGTCACCGGTGGTCAAGTTTGTTTGAGAAAGTGATGAACGGTCTGTGCTGGGATCCTGCCTGCACCTTAGCTTGTCGTCTCAGCATTGAACCGCCTTTTTGTTATAGCCAGGTCAAAATAGTAGAGAGGAGGAGGGGGAGGGGGAGGGGGGGGGGCAGGGAAAACAGTTACCCCGTAACCGATTTTCCCATTTTCCAAATAACTGTCTTGCAACGCGAAATGTAACGTAAGAATCGAACGCCTGACTTCACCCCAGACAGATGTGCCTTTATGAACCCTGTACAAATGTAGTACTGACTATCGGCTGCATTTTCATTGAATGGCATGAAGAAACACAGAAATCGGATAATGAGGACGGGCAGCACTTTTTCACTGAAGCGTGAGCAAACAGAGTAGGCGGGGAGGGGGGGGGCTGTGTCCCCCTACCCCTCCCCCCTTTCACTACAACCCTGCGCTTCCGCGGGACCCCAACACCCGTGATCAGCGGTCAGATGCAGCTCCTCAACAGGGGGGAGGATAGATGAGAGCCACCAGAGGTCAAAGCCAAAATCCCATTTGCCAAAACCATGTTTTCTCAAGCCAGACCACAAGTTTCCAATTCACAGTGAGTCGCACCACGGCTGGGAAAAACTCTTCTGCTTCCAAGGATTACTTGAACTGGCAAAATTATAGATTTCGAATAGAGGGCGGGAACCTAATTTGGAGATGAAACCGTTTTCCCTTCTAAAATCCCCCCTCCCCCTCTGTCTCTGCCTGTCTTTTTATTGCAGAATACCATATCTGTCGGCCTGCTGGTGTGTCTGCGTGTCAATCTCTTACCCTCTCTGCTCCCTTCCCCCCCCCCCCCTCTCTCTCTCTCTTTCTCTCTCTCTCTTGTTATTTGTCCCTGGTACAGTGTTGAAACATGGTGAGGCGTCATCTTGAAGCTGCCCTGCCCAGCGGTGGCCTCTATTCGTTCCTGGCTTGACTGTCAACTGTCTATATTCTACTGGTAGTGAGTCGCTCGACAGCAGAACACCTCAAGCATCTGAAGACCATCTTCCATCACTTGGCAGAGTATGGTCTGGTGGTCATTGCAAGCAAGTGTGTCTTCATGCAGCCCTCCGTGACATTCCTGGGTCACAATGTCAAAGCCACTGCCCGCGGTGGCATTGAGACACTGGCAGAGAAGGTCAAGGCCATGGTGGACTACCCTGCTCCAGACACTCACTCTGCTCTCTACCTCGCTTTCTGGGTTTAGTAAATCTCTACCGACGCTTCATCCCGGATTGTGCATGCATTCTTGAGCCGCTCTCGGATTTGTTAGCAGGCCCTCAATCTCCCACGAATCTTTGTCGCGAACGTAGCAAAAAAATACATAAAAATAAATTCGGAATAACTCATTTCTATTTTGCATTACATGACGATGATTAACATTAGTGTTTTCGTATATACCCTGACAATGATTGTGCTCTCTTACTCTCTCTCTTACATTGTGGCTGATTCCACGCTTGGGTTAGCAGAATTCTGGTTCCCTATCTTCATTTCTAAGGATTGACTCCATTCCACTTCAAAGTAGCTTCGGAAGTAGTCTTCGTTTCTCTAGTCTTTGCATTTCGTTCTGAAACAAATTCTTCGTTATGTTTTCGTACCGTGAGTAAAGTCACGCGCTCTTGATTTGTTTTGCTCGAGCGTGACTTTCCTTTCTTTCTTTTTTTGTTATGCATGACCCTGATAACGTATTGGTATGATGTATATGTGCACGTGATCACTTGCCTCCGTGACTACGTGATCACTAACTACAGCCAGTACCAGGCTAGTGTACTTTAGCTGTAGGCTAGTGCACTTTAGCGATTTGCTCTCCTTACTGCTACTTCTTCTGCGTTTCTATTTTGTCGCTTCACTAGTTCCTTTTTCCACCATTCCACGTCAATGAAAGTTGTGGTCGCCATTTTAATGCATGATCTTTGTGCACAGATGCCTGTAGATGCAGCTGCCCTGTTTCCGTTCCATTTGGATCTTTATTGAGAAAGAAACTTTCCTAATCATAAATGAAGAAACGTTGTTTGTAAATTTGTTCCTTGGCTCACCGTCTGAGTTCTTAAAGCTATTATTCATTTTCTGCTGCCCCCGGTTATTTCTTTTATTAGTACTTTCTTTGCCTTCGCTTTCTTGTTATTGGGCAACTTGCCCGTTAGAATCTGCGAAGTAAAATAAACAACAACAACAAATTAATAGATAGGTTCCGGGTATGATTTTCCGTGCCAAACTCCGTATGGACGCTACGGATATTTTCCACGCGTACTTCAGACGATCGGCACGGAGAATCCATGTGGACTGGCTTTCATACGAAACATGGTACCATGTTTCGTATGGAGATTTTGCGTCATCGAATGCAGAAAGATTTTTGTGTACAAATTGGGCTCGAGAAACATCGATTTTCCGCGAGAAGTTTTGATTTCGGTACAAATTTTCAAATTAAAATGCAAAGAGTGGGGATATGACGTGTTTACTATCGTAACCTAGGCAATGCCGGCAAACACATAAGTTCCGTACTGCGGTGCGTTTTACTGCTCGAAAACGACTTATAAAAATTCCGTAGCGCCTCTACGAATTTTGACACGAAAAATCGTACTCTGGAACCTCTCTAATTTAGTTCATGTCCGTTGGTTGGAGATGCAATGATGTTGCGAGTCACGACATGAAAATTTGGTGCCAAAACCCCATTGCCTCGACGGAACGAGGAGCGTCTGGGTCAGTCAACGAAGAGTCAGACGCCAATAGTGATACTGGTAAGTTGAAAATGGATACGGTCACCCTACCGGTGCAACTGATTTCCGTGAGCTGCTCGCTTCTCGCTCCACATATACTGGCACATACACATAGACAGCAATGGCGACAACACACAAAATAATTAATTAAAGGTAGTTGGCCGCAGCCAGCTGTAAACCGGATAACGAGTGAGGTATGGAAGCAAGGACTGAGAACAGTGTGTCTCACATAGAATAGGTGTGTCAGTGGATAGCAGAAATAGGCCTTGGTCCAGAACCACTTGGGACCGTCAGATTAATTTTCCTGGACCGAGCCAGCTTGGAAAAAAACCTCTCCCAGACGGACGCAGTTGTGAGGGAAAAACACGGGTGTATATCCCCAATGGCGATTAGGCATAATGTAGGCATGGCAAGCACATCACGGCAAAAAGTGATAAAAAAGCCAGCAATGATAATATGCACAGAAATGAAGGGTGGGAGGGCAGAGACACTGGTGAGACTCAAAACTGCTGAAGAAGTCAGGAAAAGAAGCGACAATAAAGAACACACCAGATGCCATATTTGCAGCTGAAAATGTTTCGCGAGAAAACATTTCTCGCCTATCTCGCTGCGCTCGGCCGGCGAGAAATACAACTTCAATGCATATTGCGAAATCTGCAACATGAGCAGCACGATGCGGACCGGTTTATTGCCTGGCACATGCCCCCGAATGAGGTACAAGACTTCCTGGTAAGCTTCGAGTGCATTGTCGAACGATTAGAAATCAAAGGACAAAAATGTTACGAGTTATGACAAACTGTCCACCAACGTAACTAGATCTTATACAGTCAGCAAGTGCGACAAAATGGCACAAAACTGACAAGGAGTACTGAGACATTGGGCGACCTGACACCTAGCTCCAACACTTCTCCAAGGTGCAAACTAACAACCTACTGACTGTGTAAGATCTGGTTACGTTGGTTGAAAGTTTGTCATAACTCGTGTAACATTTTGTCCTTTACCTTTCTTTATCCTAACTATATTGGCTCACAAACCGAGTTCAAATTTGCACACCTGATGAGCCGTCATGACCTATACGCCGAAACGTATGTCGTGTGGAACTACTTGTTATTGTACATAACTAGTCCATCATACATGATATTGGAGTTAAGTAGGATGTTGGCGTTTCGGTTTGTCATAATTCGTCTTCGCTTAGCTTCCCCTTCTATGTTTATTACATAAACTTGAGCCTCCCAAGTTAGGTGGTATGTTGCTTTGCGTCATCGAGTTGTAGTAAGGCCGGTCTGTTCAATAGTCTTACTAGTTTCGTCATCATCCAGGAACTTTCGGCATTCTTTCTTGCCGTGATGCGTAACTCATGCTCTTCTTCGTTGCGCTTTCCTTCCCCTCTTGGACCTTTCCGAACCTGAGTCTTCCAAGTTGGAAGTTTGTAAGTTTGCACCTTGGAGAAATGTTGGAGCTAGGTGTCAGGTCGCCGAATGTCTCAGTACTCCTTGTCAGTTTTGTGCCATTTTGTCGCACTTGCTGACTGTATAAGATCTAATTACGTTGGTGGACAGTATGTCATAACTCGTAACATTTTTGTCCTTTTTACCTTTCTTTATCCTAACTATATTGGCTCACCAACCAAGTTCAGGTTAGAAATCAATACAGGGTTCCTCACTTCAAACTCTTCAACTACGGTCTCTTCGCTGCATAAGAACACCACCCACAACAAGTGAACTTATGCAGCGAAGAGACCGTAGTGGTAGAGTTTGAAGTGAGGTACCCTGTAATGTGTGAGTGGCTGAAATGGAGTCTGCGAGTGCTTAGAAAAATTTGAAATCAAATTGGATCAATTTTCAAAATGGTGTTGCTCAATTGCCCGCACTCACAAAGAGACAATGTGCCCAAGTGGAATCACTTACACTTGAGATCAATGCAATGACATTCTTAGTAGAATCAGTGGTCTGTAGAATACGAAAATTAAAACAAGTGGCAGTCAGACACAAGAAACAAATGGCAATGGCTAAATCCCAATTGCCAGCGGAGGATCCGGATGGAATTCTTTGTCAATCTGCAACACAAAACTACACAATATTTATCGGATGCCAACCACACACTTACCACAAATACTCCTGGGCGTTCCGACACACGACCCAAGGCGCATCACGAACGGTTACCAAACTCATCTGTACTTCAGTTTGCTGAAGACGTTAACATGTATGCAGCTGGTGACACTATTGAAGAAGTCGTGGACAAATTAAACGGTGATTTTATGACGTTATCGGATTATCTGAAAGGAAAGCGAATGAAACTATATTCTGCTCAACCGCAAGACCACCGAGGTCCCGATGTCTGCCTCTGCCACCGTTGATAGTGTCCATGTTCCCCGCACGCAGTGTGCTCGATATTTTGGTATTGTACTTGACAAAACCTTGACTTTAGGCCCACAAATAGACAACCTTGTGGGTTCTGTCAACGGACAACGTGGTGCATACCGCTTATCCCGCAATCTTCTGCCATACCATACTCGGCGTACCTTCTATTTAAGTGTCATTCAGTCAACCTTGGAGTATGCAAGCATCGCTTATATCCACTCTCTTTGTTCAGTCCACCTTTGAGTATGCAAGCAAGGCTTATCTCCATTCTCTTTGTTCTACTTCGAACTATGATAAGTATGTCCGTTTGTTCAATAGATCCCTCAGAATAGTATTGGGTTTTGATAAGTTCACCAGTGGTTCTCACATTCTTAGCCTTTTACAACCTTTATCATAATTTTCGGCGCGTCAATTTGAAACTGTTTATTCTTTTGTTCCGGTGCATCCATAGCGGAACCTGCAGCTCTTCGCTTCAAGCAATCTTTACCAGCCGCTGCTATTGCTCTCACACCACTAGGGTCCAACGGATAATGCCGGCATTATATTCGGCATTATACGACTATCCGAGCATCAGAGCATTAGAAAGGAACAAAACGAGAATTTTATGAGGTTTGAGCGGCATAACGAGTTTCATAGTGGATAATACATGTATCGGGAAATCCCAGGTTTTTGGCAACAATCGGCTACGATCATTATCATGAGATGTTGTCTGATGATGATTGGTTTTTGCCATGAAACTCTGAGTAACAACGAAACAGCCCTAATTTGCTACTTTTGTGTCCCTACGCTACGCCCATTCCGGGCATTTGAGCATTATGCATTGTACAGGCGCATGATTTTGTGATTGTGTAGACACGTAATACTTTTAGCACTAACGCTACATAACTATCGCTACATAAAAACGTTATGATTGTAGCGATGTGGTCAGGTAAATGTATACAAGCCAGTTAATTAATAAAACTTTTTTGTTCAGTGACGTGTGGTAAAGCTTTTTTTAGCTCTGAAAAATCTCGTGGTTGGGCATTTTAGCCCCACATATTTTAGCCCCACATATGCCCGTTCCGAGATCATGGAGGCCACTGATGTATGTCGGGAACCAGCTGAAGTCGACCCATGGCGGAAAGTAAGGGCCAGGGACCTGATAGCCCGAACTGTGATATTTCCAGCTCCAAAGGATGTGAAACTCGCCGAGTACGTGAGCTGCCTCGAGCAAACACGCAATTGGAGCCGAGCTCATCCTATCTTTCCAGGTCAGTTCGGTAGGCCAATGCAGATTAACGTTCCCAGATATCCAGCTTGCCCAGTTAGTTGTGAAGAACGGATTTCATATAAATGGACAACATATTCTTCCAAAATCCTTGACAGAAAACACTCATGTTCAGTTGCACATTCACGATGTTCCTGTGTGGGTGTCGGATGGCGCCATTACAGCCGCACTTGCTCCATACGGTACCGTGCAGGGCGCCATCCGCCACGGTAAACTTAATGTACGGGACAACATTGTCATTGCAACAGGAGTCCATTTTGCAACCTTCGTACTGGGGTAGAATAAAGCCGTACCTTCGACGAAGTTCGTTCGTGAAATCCAGAGACGGGAAAGGCACTTTCCGCGTATACTGTAGTGGCCAAAAGCCCATGTGTCAAATTTGCAGCAAGCCAGAGCACCTCGCCATGGACTGCCCTGAGGCCCGCTGTACCACTGCCAGTACGGGTAGTACACAGCAGTCACATCACTCACCGTCACCTACATGTACAGACACTGAACGCACATGTCAACTCCTATCTGATGTGGTGGCAAACCCAACCCAGACAGCCCAGCAAAGTAAAGCCCAATCACAAAGCCCAACATACATGTCTAAGCAGTCTGGTCTCCCAGCAGCTGACAAGAGCGACTCCAGCTCCTCTGAGTCGGAAGAGTTGCCTTTTCCTGCTGATACTGAATCATTGGTCGAAAATGAAAGCTTATCCAAGCCAGAGAACCAACAGCCGTCTAACTTGTCCTGCGAC